TTCAGTTCCATAGGTCTATCGGCTTTCCTTACTAAGCTTGCTCATCATGTGATTCCCCAAAGGTTCGGGAACATTGACTACCCATTATATACAAATCTTTTTTGGCATGTGAGTGTACCAGGACCCTCCAATAGCCACACTATGGAGAGCTGTTTCCAACAGCCATTTACACACTTTCGCTTCACTGTTCTACCTCATCATTTATAATGTGATGAGACAAACGCTAGGAGACCTTCAAAACCCAGGCGGTAGGAGAAAAACTAACCACCAACATGCGATCCTGCGGCATGCTCCTTGAAGTGACAGAGAGCAAAGACATGTTTCAGGATGCGCAGCCTCTAAATCCGTCCAAGAGGGAACTGTGTTACTTCGTACCAAGTGACAATACGGACTGTGGTAATGCATGGTTGTGAGATGATCTGAGACGTGTTTGGTTCTTTAGCCACCGATATGTTACATAGCGTTAACGCACATGTGATGTGGCAATTGGGAAACGAGTGTTTAGCAGTGGACCAGTTACTTCAGTCCCGGTGAATATCCAAAACTCTCAAGTGAGGTGACACAGCCATGTGGGCCATGCATATGAAACAGTCGTTTACAAACACTAGTCTATAGCCGCTGTAGAACGGCACTAACAGCGAGGTGGATGTGTGACCCGGTGGGTGGATGGTCACGAGGTGTAGGTACTTCTGGTGCAGTTTTCCTTGCAGAAAGGGGCCTCCGCGTGTTCAAGCGGTGTCGGTTCCTACCAGCTATTTGAGTGGGCGTTTGGAGGCATACACCACCCAGCATAGTTGTGGCAACCAAGTATCCGACCTCTCCCCTGCCAATTTTTTTCCGTTTCTCACTATGGGGATCTTAAGATAAACATGAAAACCTCATGAACACATGACAGTGAAACATTTGGTTTATGGTAATGCTGTCTACCTCAATCTGAGAGGAGACTGACAGTAGAGAAGCTTTTTGGATTTACAGCGATCTGTGATTTCCATTACAACTAAACTTCCATTGCAAACTCTCCCATCTCCGGCTTCTAACCCGCACTGCGGATGTGACATTTTGCAGAGCCAGATGCCCAGCCCCATTCACACTTCTCCCTAACTGGCATCCGCTATCGGACTGACATCTCCATGCCGTGGTTGGGTCATTGCCCGTCCTTCGATTAAGAGGAATTGCGGCGATTCAGTGAATTTTATCCTTTCAGATATCAGTGCGTAAACTCACCTCAAACCATTGGGTCATGGGTATGACCTCAATGCGTAGTTTAATTGTTCCAGATTTTCTCTGGACGAACAGTCACGACGTTGAAGGATAGAGAGATGACCTTCCCAGTGTCCAACACACCGCGCGTCAAATAGACTGGATTACCTCTACACATATCACCAAAAACGTTGGGGACCAGCCTGCGAAACTCATTTATTGTACTAAAGCGATGCTCATTCCGTTTGGTTGATAGGGCGATTCGACCTCTGATGAGACAAACAAATAGGCTCTGTGGCCGCTCCAAGATTACTGTATTTCTTCTGAACCTTTCCTTGCATGCACTCTACGCATTTCACAAATTTCTGCATTTCTATATTTCAGAATCTGCACCGAGTCCTCCGGAAGATTAAGGTTGATGTTCAGGTGTTGCAACTGTTGCAACCAACTAAATTTCCAGTGCATTGATTCAATCGCCTTCAAGTGTATCGGAAATGGGCCGGTTCCTCAGGCCACGACGATTCTATGATAATTCTTCAGTCACAGACTCTACCCAACAGTGAAACGACGGTTTCGAACGGTGCAACCGACCCACCAGACTTGAAAGTTTGGCCAACTGCCAATGACAAACAATCCATTAAATTACATCGAAATGCGAATTCTATGAAGATATCATTTCCATTGGCCAGTAGCTCTGAACCATCCGACTCATCCGAAGGGATATTCCTAGTCTACTTGTGTGGCGTTTTTGTACCTTTATTTTACTTCCATTATAACACTAGGTATTTCATCAATTGCACAATCGTTTTTTGTTTGAATACGAGAAACTACAAAAAACGCGCCCTTGTACAATTTCACATAATACAAGCGTGGTCACG